ATGAACTATTCAACTTGTTTCACAACGCGGCGTTAAAAAACAAGTTCACGCTCGCAGAATTGAAAAAAAAAAGGGTAAGAACAGAAATTTCTCAAAATAGTTATAACACTCATCCGTGCCACGAGACACTGGATTTTTTAAAGTACCTGACGTAAAGACCAGTCTGTGTTGACAATGAGTGAACAAACTTCAAACCTGAGTGCAAATTGGAATTCCACCTCGCTCCAATATGGGACGTACTCCCGAATTGAGTTGGCTTCTGCATGTACACTTGCACTACTCAGTCCTATAACAGTGGCTACAAACATCTTGCTAATCACCACCATTATCAGAGATCCTCTAAAGCATTTCAAGAAAGCGACGAGCTATTTTGTTCTTGGTCTTTCGGTAGCAGACCTCTCGTGTGGCTTGCTGGTCGAGCCATTTTTCGCCATCTACTATTTCGTACGCTTTTTTACAGCTGGCGATAGATTGCGAGTCATTTCTCACACGCTTTTCGTCATCGGTTCAATCATTTCGACAGTCTCGCTAAATGCTTCCTTCGTTATGGTGTTAATGCTTTCCTTTGTACAGTTTATTGCCATAGAATATCCTTACAGATACAAGATTTGGATCAAAAAGAGATTTGTGCTCTCGTTCGTTATCGCAACATGGTTATACTTTACCGTATTCAGCCTCCTGCCGGTTTTAGGCATGGATCAAATCTTGTTTTTCAAACTGAATTTGACACTGCATTCCACAGTTATCTCTATGGTACTCGCTGTTGTTCAGATTTTAACATATAGGGCTTTTAAAGGGCATTTGCAGGTTCATAAAATAACTCGAGCGACCAGTTTATTATATCATCTTCACAACAATTCCGCATCTCCGCAGAAAACTAGCGGAAGGAAACTTCTTCAAACTCGCAGCCGCAATTATGACAGAAACTTAGTTCTCTTGACATTTTACCTCGCTGCAATACTGCTTTTTTCGGCTTTTCCACATATCACTGTATTTTACGTTTTCTTGTACAGACAGTACCAGAGCCACAAAGAGGAAGTCATTTTGAATATTTTGTTAAGAATAACTGATCTATTCCTTTTTGTAAAAGCTGCTGTTGATGCATTTATTTTCGCCTGGAGATTACCATCTTACAGAAAATCCATACGCTTTTTACTGGCGAGAAAAGAAAATCCTCAAATTGAGACAAGTGTTTAGTTTATTTCAGTACAATTTCGTCAAAGGTTTTGTTTTCGAGTCTCGTTTGAAACAAAGAAAGGAGATTAAAGGTGCGAAAAATTTAAATGCCGTTCTAATATCATTAATATCATTAAATTCGCGTACATAATGTATTTAGCTTGGAGGTAGCGATCGGTTTGGGTTCCAAATATGTATTCAGCAAGGGCACTCATCCAAAAGCCCACAGGGGCCCTTATGTTTCGTGCTCACAGATCCTCGTTGCCTTTAGGGATGCCGTATCACAACACACCGTCCCAGACTCTTCTCTTCTTTTGTAATCGACGGAAATGGTTCGTGGATGCAAGTGTCCCTGGGGATGAACCACAGCAGTCTGTGTCATTTATCGTTGTCAAAGGTAATACGATTGAGCTCTGTTTAGACTTGTCTCTTTTTCCCACCTTCACTGATGTTTTGGTTCTCCGGTAAAAATGAAGGATTAAATAGTCTCCGTTCCTTATCAAAAAGTGGGCGTTTTTGAAGGAAATCGCTGAGGACTGCATAAGGAGGATCTCCCCACGCCCTTTTTCTTATTTTGCAGTTTTCGAGTGGAGGCATGTAATGAAGAAAACAGTTAAGAAACATTTTCTCACAAGGGATTAACATTCCATATATGGTTTAAAAACTGTAAAGGAAAGTACAATCTGGCACTGAGGCCCAAGGCTCAAACGGAACATTGTATCGTCACTGCCTTCCGAAAGGGTTTACATTTCGAAATAAAGAGGAAGTAACTAACTTGGTGAGCCATGAATTCTTTAATCAGAGATAAACTAGTTTCTTAACACCTCTTGACTACACTTGAACTTAGTAACTGAAAAAAGAAACCACCACCAAGAACACACTGATAGAAATTTCACAAGATCAGGAAAACATTGTAACTTGAACTATACGAATGTCTCTCTTCTAATCATGTACAAAATTGAATGAAGCTGCTTATTTGAAGGGCATGCGAGGAAGGACTGAGACCAAGTATCTCAAAGTCCTCAGGGCATGGAGGAAGGTCGCGCAGGGCTTGGAGAAGAGCGAGCGAATGAAGGTACGGAGGGCGCGGCCGTTGAAAACGCGCCAAAAAACTCGGAGGCGAAGCCAGTGACGTCATCAGGTTTTCGAAGCAGTAGGAATTGTAGAAAGTCGGCAAGTAGAGCCCGCAGCTCTGGATGCCTTCTCATGTAGGTTGCGTGATCGTCAGCCAACTCCGCCTGAAAATACAGGAGGGGTGAGAAGATCAGTTCCAAAAGTCCTGAAGCCTGTTATTACAGACGTACATGATGACTCTGCAAAATAGTTCTCAGACATAACTTGGTGAGGAATGGGTGGCACACAAAATGGAGAATTAATAACAACATATTGAGAGTCTTGGGGTAAAAAGTTGGCAGAACTAACACTGTCCGTCTAATAAATATGTGTTATGTTGCTTACGCTTTCACTATCACCTAAAGGTACAACCATACTAAAAAAGTTTACTCTACCTTTCGGTCTAAAAAACGCGAGAACAGTTGCATATCTTCTTCCCATTTGAGAGGTTTAACTTCTGTTGTCTTGTCTGTTAAGACTGTATCTAAAAAAAATAGTGAAAAATATACGGATAAAATAATCTGTCAACAACCATTGCAACGAATCTCAGGGTTTATGTCCACTTTAACGACCCCTTGATGCCGTATCTATTTGTAAAAAAATAACAGTCACAACTTGGAATAAAAAGATGATGATAGTCTGAACCAACCAATAGATTAGTTGTTTTATGTAAACTCACCTGTATTCTGATGTTCCTCTGGTATTCTTGACAAGGTCATAGTTACCCCAGAGCCCAACTGTGTTCGACTTGCCAGATGCCTAAAAGAAAGAGTTCTTTAATCATGCTCGCCTTGAAAAAGTTTTAGTCAACTTCAGTTTCATGGGTTTCATAGTTTCCATTGATAGACAAAAAAAAGAAAACTTCAAGAACTATTACACTGAACTCACCCGGTCGATAGGAAGTACGATTCCCATGTGGTTGGTGACTCCTCAACTGAATGAATTGTACGATTCAGTCCTACCGCATGAACTTGTTGCAAACCAATTTTCCTCTCTGACCTGCCAAGCATTTTCTGTGAGGGAGTAAAGCAAGATATTAAATCAATTCTCCCAAAAAACAAAAACACAACTTACAATACAAAATCTCAACGTGATGCAGGTTCTTACATAAGATGAAGTACATAGACTAGTTGTCGAGTCAAATGCAACAAATGTCATGTCTTCTGGAACTCCTCTATTCACCATGATTCTCTGTAGCAGCAGATTAGAACCTACAAAAAAAAAATGCAGGTAAGTGAATGATGCACAAAGAGACTGGTCACATGAACTAGGAGGACTCAAACACAGGAATGAATGAAAAGATTATACACTGTAAATATAGAAACTGACCTTCGGATATAAAACCCTGGAATAATTCTTTTTTGTAATACTTGTCAGTTCTCTGCATTTCCTACAAGAAATAAAAATTATCAAGGCAAGCTAGGAAACTTAGTTCAAGCAATGTTTCAAGATACCTGTACATGTAACTTGTCTTTAAAAAAGTAGGACGAGTGAATCAACCCAACTACGTTTTTATAACGTTCAAATGTAAAAAAAAAAATTTGATTCTCTAGAGCCTCTGTTGAGGTCTATGGTATCAGTTAACATGAACTTTAAAATGCTACATGTCTTTTGATCAAGTTTTATAAAACCAAATCCAAATTAAGTTCTAATAATGGCCATAGTTAACAAAGAGACCTAGCTGAAGATGCCCCACAAACTTTGAGTAACATGCTAACATGCCAAAAGCAATAAAAAAAGAGGGTGACCAACACAGAGCTGATTCTCTTCTAAATCTGATTAATAGATATTTCTTGGAGTAAACCCACCCTAATGCAGAGCAAAACCAACAACAACACAGTATCTATAGCTAAAGCAATTTTTCCAAATATGGTGAGAAAATTACTCTCCCTATCCTTTAACTTGCTGACCTTACAGATTGAGATGTCCTTTTTACTTTATTTCATATCGTATCTTATTTTATTTATTTGATATTTCCGAAAGTGACTTACATCTCCCTGTGATTCAGTCTTCTTCACAGAGTATGTTCCATCCTCATCAAGTACAATAAGAGTCTTTTTATCCAGAGGGTTATCTGGTATCTGTAAACAGATGAAAAAAAGTCTCCAGTCCTCTTCAGCAAGCTGATTTGATCAATGGAAGTGAAAAGTAACTGATGCATATTTACATTAAACTGCTCTCTAACTTGTATTACTTTACTGAAAATCTTGATGTAAATTATTTTTAAGAAACAGGGCCTCTATGGATACCAGCCTTAGAGCTGAATGGGCTACCCTGTGTGAATAAAGCTTTACTTACTTTACTACTTAGTTTGCATAGTTTACTATTGCCAAATGCGAAGAGAAAACCACAAAGTAATCATTATTACAATCCACCAAAGATCTCTGCTTGTGCAACTGGTCTAAATGCACCATATGATCAAATATGCCCCAGTTAAACATGAGAGAGGGTTTTGCTGTCATTGCAGAAGAAAAGATATATTTGCTTGTCCAAAATTTTGTACAAAAAATTGATCACCACACTAAGTAAATGGTAAACTATATGTTCTTATACATTTTTTTACTGCGCACTGCAATTGTTGTCATCCATGACCATCCTATACCGGTAACTTACATTACACCCTCTAATTCAGGTGTCACTCTCCTTTCCCATGAGGGTAATTCTACCAAATGAAGGTCTATTAAAAAATATTTTTAAATAAACCTCTTTTGCTACAGTGGCCCCCATGGGTTAAAAATTTGTCTCGGGTGTATCTCACAAATTCATCTGTTTAATAATCAATGCAATTTTGTGAAGTCCCCACCTTGACATATTCATAATGGGTTTGTTCAAATGTCTGAAGAGATCTTCCAACATAGGCTGTGACAAAAACAAAACAGTTGCAGTTTAACAGAATTATCGTTTTCATACACTGTAGAGTCAGTATTGAATATCAGTTGAAAATAGAGAAATTTTCAAGCATCCATCAACCCTTCTCGCCCTAACATCAGCATGTATATTCTCCATACTGTTCTCTATTCATTTCCTAAGGTGCTGACAAGGAGAATTTGTGTAACAATCAAGAGCTTCTTTAGTTGGGTGATCATTTTCTTTATTCTTATGACCTTAATGTGTGATTTGAAGGTGAAATAATGTAAGGAGAAATTAGATGCTAGTCACTGTTAAGCTAACCTGTTACAGATGTTCCAATAGGTACTTGATCTATGGACCCATGGCTGTTAGCATGTACAAGATAACAAGGCTCTCCTCTCCACATAGTGTTCTCCACAGTAATTGTCATTTCACCTATTTCCTTTAATAGTGAAGAAAAGCCTTGAACATAATTGCAAACTAGTACATGGTACATGTAAGTAAAATGACTTGGATTCCACTAAGGTCTACATCAACCTGAGACTAATACTTACAACATTGGCACTCTGAACAAGAATGTTTCAAAGCCCAATTATCATATGATACATTTGAGCATTGCCAATTCTTTAATTCAATAAAATTCAATATAATTCATAAAATCATTTTAAAAATTACATCAAGATGAACTTACTCTGCCAGTTTGAGATGTAGTCACCAGTGAGTCAGAAAACAGCAATGATTCCCATATTTCCTCATCTATGTGAAGACAAATATGAACTTAATACACCTGGGGTGCTATAACCCTGTTATTGGTATAGAAACCTACTACTGACCATAAATTAACCTTTTTCAACCTAACATCAATATCTATTTTCTCCAAACACCTCTAAAAAAAAAAGGTATGGACAAGGAGAATTTGTTTAACAATCAAGGTTTCTTATCTTGGTGATCTGCATTTAATTTCCTTTATTCTCATGATCTTCATGAATTATTATTGTAAGGAGTATCGTTGTAAGAAGAAACTAGATGCTGATCACTCTTACCATCTAAGGGGTTACAAAGTTAAATTCTACTATCTATGTGATCACATAGAGTACGTTTCTGATTTTGTATCTGTCTTTTCTGTATTTTTTATTTTCTTTGGGCCCTTTTTTAGAGTGCGTACAATTTATTTACTGTAACAATATTGTTATTAAATATAGAAAATGAAAATGTCACAATTTTGTTTTCAGGGTGTTAATAGTGTGAGTTATAGCTCATTTTCAGGGAATGCTCTTAAAGCAATTAAACTTATTATCCATGTTTTTCAACCTTAATCATATGCCATGCTCCATCTGAAAAAACTTACACAAAACTACAGTGATTATGCCAAGAAAACACGATGGAAAATTGTGAGAAACTTCAGATAAATTATCCACTTCAAAACAAACTATAAATCAATTTTTTTTGTATATACAGTTAATCGGGTTAAGCGCATAGAGGCAATATTGTTGTTCCATTACTTGTACTTAGGCCCTCTCTGAGGGAAACTATACATCTGGGCTACCCAGAGCTCATTGTTCTGTTCTGTTTGCTACCAAGACCCTCATGGTCGACCAAGGAAAAAAAGACTGTGTTCAATGAATTATCAGTACTACCTGTGTCATCTGTGCCAATAGACAACAAAGTAAGCCAATATATTAGAATATTGCCCTTTCAACCACCTCTCCCGTTTGTCAGCTCCCTATTGATCACTTGCCACAGCAGGTTGAAACAATCATGAAACCTTGAAATACATGCTCAACATGCATGCTTTCAATTTGTGGCACTTTGTAATCCTTTACTATTCTGCCAATAAAAGTGGTCTACATTTTTGATACTGTTCAATAAAAAATGAAAGAACTGACACCTTGCATGTGAAAACAGACTCTGCATGTGCACACACAATGAACTGTAGTTAAATGTATTGTGTGTCTAACAAGAAATGAAAGACATGAAGCTAATATCATATACCGTTAAATATTGAGGTATCAGCAACAAAATTGCCATACAATATATAATTTTCTTGGTAATTCTTATTTGCAGCCTAATATAGGACCTTACAATGCATTCAATATTTAGGAAGATGTTACATTAAGTTTGCCTTGAGTGTAGGAGAAAAAAAAGCTACCTGCCCACACAAAGATAGCACCATAGACCCTGGAATACTGCAGTCCAATGGTGGAGCTACCACTGATTTACAAAGGTAGAGGGAGAGGGAAGGATGACTGCTATTCTTGAAAAAATTAACAAAGCCAATGCAAGGACATCATTAGTTTGTTGAGTGCCCTCTAAACTTCCCAAATGCTTTATATCTGTCAATGAAGGCACAGCTGACATGAAACAATTGTCATTCAGTGTGGTGGTAAACTGTATGATGTATATATATATATACAGGGTACAAGGGGAAGTTTACTTTTCTATGCTTCACCACACACATCATCAGCAAACTCAATGGGAATGTGAAACACACTTGCACAGCTAAATTCCATGAGAGAACATGAATTTTTGGCAGTCTTGTTTTAAAGGGTGTCCTCTGGGGCAGTGATATTTTACTGAGAATTTTCGCATTGCCTGGTTTATTACCTTTGGTGCACACAGAATCCCTAACATCTATAGAATGCATCATACACATAAATATTGAAGTGGGTGGTGTTTGCTAATGGTACCGGGTTTAAAAAGAAAGAATCTATGGGAAACTCCTTTACTTTCTGAAGAGAGTTATTCTGCCAGATATTAAATTTACCATCAGATTGCTCAATCTTAGTCTTGCTTGATCTTCAATCTAATGATCTAATTCTGGCCAGTGATACATACATGTAAGAAAAAAGAATAAACAGAACTCTGATTGACAAGGTAGAGTAGTTTTAATTAAAGATGCTGGCTCTTTTGTGGTGTGTATGAGAACACACAAAGTCCCTCTCTTGCACCACAATATTTAATTATGGCACAACTGGTTTAGAAATTTATTAATTTACTGTTGAAACAAAACAAGTCACACGTTGGATGAATTACCTTGTTTGTCTGTAGGATTTTACGAGATGAAATTATTTAATTCATGCAACCACAGGGGATACAAGTGTATAGAGATAACTAAATTAATTGAAAGTACAGGTATTCCTAATTCTTTTTTGGCATCAGAGAACTTGCAATTTAAGCTACAAAAAGCTTTCTTGAAAACTATTTTTTTTCATTCATAAGTCCAAAGTCTTTTTCAGAAATAATTCTGTCCAGAACAGAGTGTGAGAATGGGCAGTTTAAGTGACAACAATTTGAATAACAATGTTGGTCATTAAAACTGGTATCCCACCTGGTTTAATATTTCGAAATTACTCAAACGATCATATTTTTCTATGCTTTTAAGTAAAAACTAAAAAGCAAAGTGGCAATTTAAATGCAAGTTTGTCCAATTAAACGCTTTCTTAAGAACGCAAAACTACTAATTGCTATGCTTCTAATTTTAGACAAAGTTGAACGAAACAGATCAAGTTCCACGTGAGTAATTCAAAAACCCTAAAATTTAAGCGATCTTTGCAACACAAGCCTTTGATAGGACTAACTGTTGCGAAAGCGACGAGATCGAGTTTCTTACAACTCAATACGTACATTGTAAATATTTATTCTAATCAAAAACAAATGTTTCATTGAAACGTACCATCGCCCTTTTATCGCCGTGGGGTAAGTTTGCGTGGAAATTTGCATTCAAACTTTATTTCAACTATCGTTCTTACGATCGAAAACTCTTAATCTGGTTGTCGTATTCTTTTCCCTAATCTCATAACAGAAGTGGATTAAAAAGATTTTTCTCCGGAGGAAGACTGATTTGAAAATTTTTCTCGCTAATCAATATTGACATATCTTGTCATATTTGTCGACATTCAATCTTTAACTGAAATGCTCCGGGAATCAATGCAATTTGGCATTTAACGAAACAACAAAGCATTCCTCACAGTGCTTCCTTCCAGCTGAATAAAACATCCTCAGACGCAACCGAAAACTTAACTTAGCCTTTTAGTTTTAATTTAAAGCCTCCAAGACAACGAAACGTTTAAACAAATGCGTAGCTAGGAAGTTTTGGTATGCGAGAAGTACACGACGGGTTAAGTTGATGCAAAGCGTATTGTGCAATTAAAAGACTGACAGTTTTTTTCAATAAACTCGACACGAAAAGATTTCTGCGATCCGCCAAGGAAGGTTGTTCATTGCGTTATTTCACCGTGGTAAATGCAATTTCAAACCTATCAAATCTTAAAAACAGGCAATAACATCGTTAAAACACTGCAAGGGCAAGTGTTACATAGCGCAAATTTGACCGCTTACCTATACTGGCCAGATACTCCACCGCTTTCTCGCTTGCTTTCGCCTGGGAAACAGTGAACGTTTCGGCGCTGAAAATACAGAAATGAGCCCAAGTTTACATAGCTGATTTTCATCCGATAAAATAAACACTGTCCGGACGAAAATGTGGCATCACATTTACAAATCGGCGCTTCGATCGTACCTTACGCCGTTTTCTGCTTCCATTTCCTCTGTGTGACAAAAGAACCAGCTAAATTCACTGCTTTACGTATTGACCAACATCTTTAGAGACTCGAGGGAAGAAAATCGTCCATATCACAGGTTACTCTGCACTGTCAGGAGGCTCCATATCAATAACAAATTCCCGCGCGGGGAATTGAGAACCGGTAACCTTAACGACTGTTACGTCATAGACGTGAATAAATGCCCTGGTGACCGTAGTCGATATTTGAGACGTGTCTCAGAACTTCGTGTCTCCTGACTTCGCAGGTGAAAAAGTCACCAATCAGCCACCACAATCGAATGTGTTAAGGCAGAAAAATTACTATTCTCAGCCCCTCGTGAAATGGGGCTGTTAAAAAAAATTACATGATTGTGTAGTTGACGAGATTTCACACTTTCGTTTCCAAGGTAATACGTAACTTCCGCGCTGTGCGAAGTGAAAAGGATATTAAAATCGCGAATTGTCACCCGATCGGGAAGTAGCTTTGGGCTTTGAAGTAATTTACGGGTTTCTTCCTTCTGTGTTTCATTAATGAATGCAAACTAATTCACTGCTTTGTTATTTGACACATTAGCATCAGATAGGTTGGTACGACGGTTGGTGCCATTTTTGCCAACAAGTATCCCACATGTAAATTTACATAATTCAGATTCTCTGAAGGGGAAAGAATTTGACAAAAATTATGGCACAACAATTTGAGTATGAATACGAAACGCAGTTCCAGTTTGTACGCATAGTTTAATCAATAATTTTTATTACAATTCAGTGACTCCATATCCCGTTATTTTGCACAAACAGTTTTTTTATTACTTATATGCCAAATTCGCTTAGTCATAATGGAACCTTTTGTTGCATTACAAGCTTGTGCAATTATATTCATGTCCTCCAGTAAATGGCCTCATAAAATGCACCACACACAATTTTGACAATTTCAGAGAAAAATGAACCATTAGTTAGAATATCTGAAAGCAATCACATAGCAAAAAAGTGTAACAGCTGCTGGGAACATTAATAAATCATTCGTTTAGTCTGGATAATTTTTGTAAGTCTTGAAAATTTTGGTTTCTATTTGGTTGAAGTGGGTTCAGGGTTTTATCAGATTTTTGGCTCTTTTCTTATCAATGTTTTAGCTTCACCATTCATACAAATAGTGCATTACATTTAACATTTGGGAGCACCAAATGCACTGTTTTGAAGATGACATCCAAACCATGTGTTCACTTCATTTAATTAACATTGACTAAATTTCCTTCTATTCAAGAGTTTTCCCCACAGAGAACAATCAAATAAATATCTATGCTTACCAGATCTTCAAAAATATATATGAAAAAGCTGAAATATGATCTTTAATCCTGGCTCACAAGCAGTTTATTTGGCATGACAAAGAAAATAATAAGCAACCCCTCAACGATTTAAGGAAACTATGTTTAAACCTACAGTTACAGTGGCTGATCTTCTTAGAGAAAATAATAGTTATCTTATTCTATCCTTCAGTTTCAGTGTAGGAGTTTGACTTGTGCTTAGGGAGGAAGCAGAATCCAGTAGGGACGGGACCTAAAAGTATCTCACTGAAAACAAAAAGGAAAAGAAATGAAAACAAAACAATTATATTAGAAAGCTGTTTGTGGCTACCTTGATAATTTCTTATCATTCTGCATTAGCAATCTATTAGACATCAACAGATCACTATCCAAAATTTGTAATAAACAATATTTAACACTGAAAAAAAAAAGCTCATAAAGCTACATTTATTACACTATGCTGACATTCTTGTTAAAATAAAAATCATTCTTTTTCTTTTTATCATCCAGGTTTAACCTTGCTGATTTTTTAAAATGTATTCCTTAATAAGGACTTTGCATCAGCTTTTTGTGGTCTTGAATTTATTTTCAAAATGTGATTATGATCACTCGTTCCACCATCATATTTCATGATTTTTGTTTCCCCAAAATCATTTTCCTACAAAATTGCACAGTTTTAGAGAAACACAATTTCTTTAACAACTCAGGCCCATGAAAAAAATAACTTTAATAATCAGTAAGAGTTTGGCTTTTAGATTTGGCTTAATTATTATGTTAACATTTACAAACATTTCCATCCTAGAGTATGCATATTCTCCTTACTGTTCTGTACACAATTCCTAAGGTGCTGACAAGGAAAATTTGTTTAACAGTCAAGAGTTTCTTTAGTAGGTAATCATTTCCTTTATTCTTGTGACCTTCATGTGTAATTTGGGGGTGATATTGTATGCCTCTAATATTGGGAGTGTAAAGAGAGACTAGATGCTATAATAATAATAATAATAATAATAAAAATAATAATAATAATAATAATATTATTATTAATATGAACAATGAGATTAGGCACAATGAGATTAGGGATCTAGAAGCGGAAATGTTGTGCATGGTTTGCACTGACGTAGAGACAGAGCCAGTTCTTCAGGAAATCACTGGGGAAGAGCTAAACAGAGGCGCAAACAGAGCGCCTGATGCCTGACTAGATATCCACCCTCGCGGGTTTTGGGAGAGACAACAATCTGCATTCTTCGATGTTTGGGTGTGTCACCCAAACACAGATTCATATCGAGAACTGTCTCCGAAACAGATATTCCAACTACATGAAAATGAGAAGAGGCAATACAGCAGGCGGGTTTTGGAAGTGGAGCAAGCGACATTCACACCATTAGTTTTTACAAGTACAGGTGGAATGGCCGATGAATGCAAGAGATTCCATGGCCGCCTTGCAGAGTTACTTGTGTTAAAGAAAGGAGATGACTATGCTACAACCATATCTTGGATAAGGGCAAAGATATCCTTTGCCA